TCTTCAAATATCTTTCAGATCACCAGTTCTCTAATCTAATCACCTGTTTTGCCTAACCGTTGAATTTTTCATCATTATGTTTTTCATTTTAGATAGCTCTGCCTGGTCAATTTTGACAGTCTTTTGTTCCTTCAACATATTCATTAGGGAATAATGTATATTAAAAATATTAACTTTTTGCAGTACCTTATAATTTCAATATCTACAGTGTTTGCAGATTGGGGATTCTGTAGTTTACTCATTCTATGAAGTTACTCAAGATGGCTTATTTGTGTTTTTTGTGAAAACCATCTTCCTTGGAACTGTATGAGAATTTTTTGAAAGGTGCGTATAAAGTGCAGAAAGAATTTGAGTTTCCTTCTGGCAGATCTCTGGAGGTATTGCTGGGATAAGGCAATTTTAAATCAGATTTTTGGACAGGGTTTTTAGAGGTTACACGGATAATATGAATGCTGACTCAAAGTCCAGATAAGGACAGGCCTATGGCTAGAAAATTCCAACATGGATTCTGTTCCTTTTTTCTGAGCTTCCCAGAGCCAAGGCTATGCTAGTCAAGTTCTCCCAATATCTCCTGCTATTTGGGTTAGTGTTTTTTTCATTTCTCTAACAAGGTGGTCAAATTTTAAAGATTCCCAGTAACATGCAAATGTATCTTATGGGACTATCCAATTGGCAAGATACAGAATTTATCTTTTGTCTTCAGTTTATAGTCTTTCAAAGTTCAAGCTCCACGCCATAATTGAAAAGCAGTTCCCGCATCCCCCAACACAATGCTGGTGCTGGCTTACTAGTTAGGATTTTGTGCTTTTTGTATCAGCCTCAAATAATTTCCATAATTCAGTTATCAGATTATTTATGTATATAAAAATATTTTCTTCATCTCTTTTAGTTCTTATAGCTCACTATGTATCTAGAAACCAAACCATTTTAAAAAATCATATTGATGTGCTTCTAGATACCAGTGATGTCTATTTCTTCTTTAGCTTCTAAATGCTAATCTGACTGACAGAGATCCTGTTTTCTCCTAAAGGTAAAAATGTAAGAACATGAGGAGTATCTTCCCCAAAATTATTACCCTTAGTAAAAGACAGAGTATCTTGGAAGTAACAGGGAACTCTGACTAAGGCTGGACAGCTGCTGAGAGAAGAGAATATATATAAAGTTTTCTCTTTGTGCTGCCTTACCACAGAAAGGATTCTGAGCAGCATATCACCTACATGTGCTTCTGGTGGTTTCCATCACTATAAATTCATGGCCTGGTTAAAAGTTAAAGTAGAGCCATATACCCCCAAATACATCCACTTTCAGTCAGAGGAAGGAGAAAAAATAAGGGTAAGGAAAAAATGCTTTTCACTGCAAAATCACAAAATGACATGTCATATTATTATATTCATTCATTCATTCATTCATATTTACCTAGCACTTACTACATTTAGGGCATTATTCTAGGTGCTGGAGATAACAACAGTAAACAATGACTACATGAATGATGATACATGAATATATAAAAACGTTTAAAAAAGTGAATATGACAGCTCTTTGAAAATAAGAAAATAGATATACATATAATTTGTTATCTTTATTGCATGAGGATTCAGATAAGTCTTGTGTACCACAATGACAACAGCTGCTTTTTCCCTCCTCACAGGAGAAAATATGTCTTAATGGACTTGGAATTTTCAAAGCAATTTTTATTGGCAAAGTTTCTTGCTTCATAACATTGTCAAAATTGTCTTAATCTACAATTCGACACTTCTCAACTCTCGTTCAGTCTCAAATACAGAAGAAAATCCCTATAATTCACACTGACCTTTCCAACAAATCAATTGATTTAGCCAGTATAGTGTTCTAATTCAACTTCTATTTTCTCCACTCATAAATTTCAGGTTTCATACCCACACCCAGTCAAGGGCCAGAATGAAAAATTTAACAAAAGCTTCAGCATGGTTGTTGAGTAAGCACTCTGATACATTCCACACTATAAACATTTAATGAGACTTGCTCCCAACAGAGTATTTACTACATCAATTTACTTCATAGTACTATACTTGCAGGAGCAAAATAGAGCAAAGGTTATTTTGGATGCTTTACCAATACAGCTTCCTGTAAATAATGAAAAGTGCAACCATTTAATTTACCAAATCATTAAAAAAGGTAAAATGCTCAATAAATTCTGCTTTATCTAGTTCAGACAGCCACAGCAGCTATTTGTACCTTGGATATAAAAAATACAGAAAACTTAGGCATTTTTTACTAGTTTGCACATCTGTATCTTCAACTAGAACTAAATTTCAAAGGTTGTTCAGACAGTTTAGAATCCTCATTAGGATCTCAGAGAAATATCTTTTGGACTCCCTCCTGCCTCATGAAGAACAAGTGAGTCTGAATCTGCCTTTCTTGAGAAACAGAACACTCTATTACCCTGCCTATGCCCACTCCCATCGAAGTTACACACACATACACACGCACACACACACCACGCACACTTTCTCCTCCTCTCCAACCGCTGCCATTTTGTGCCTGTAGCAGTCACTTTCAACTAAAATGAGAAAACAGAAGAGGTCTCAGAAGAAGGAATAATTTGGAAATGTCTTCTTCTATAATCCTAAAACACGGAATGCATTGTCTGAGATAAACCGGAGCTCTTCTGGGAGCATTCTCTGACACAGTTCTGTTTAGTACTACGAAAAATGTGCTATATGGGTTGAGCACTGCTAATCTAAAAATCTGAAATTCAAAATGCTCCAAAATCCAAAACTTTTTGAATGCCAGTGTGATGGCACAAGGGGAAAATTCAGCATCTAACTTCATGTGACAGGTCGCAGTTAAAATGCAGTCAATGGATTAAGAAAATGTGGCACATATACACCATGGAATACTATGTAGCCATAAAAAAGGATGAGTTCATGTCCTTTGTAGGGACATGGATGCAGCTGGAAACCATCATTCTCAGCAAACTATCGCAAGAACAGAAAACCAAATACCGCATGTTCTCACTCATAGGTGGAAATTGAACAATGAGATCACTTGGACACAGGAAGGGGAGCATCACACACCGGGTCCTATTGTGGGGAGGGGGTAGGGGGGAGGGATAGCATTAGGAGATACACCTAATGTGAATGATGAGTTAATGGGTGCAGCATACCAACATGGAACATGTATATATATGTAACAAACCTGTACGTTGTGCACATGTACCCTAGAACTTAAAGTATAAAAAAAAAATGCAATCAAAACATCATTTCATGCACAAAATTACTTAAAACATTGTATAAAATTACCTTCAGGCTGTGTATAGGATGTATATGAAACATAAATGCATTTCATGTTTACACATCAATCCCATTCCCAGGATAACTCATTAGCTATATGCAAATATTCCAAGATCCAAAAAATTCCAAAATCCAAACCACTTCTGGTCCCAAGCATTTCAGATAAGGATAATCAACCTGTATGATCCTATCCATCTATTCTAGCAAATTTCAACATATCACACTCGACACTCCCCAAATACAGACTACAGATGGTCCCTGACTTGACTTAACAATGATTCAACTTATAATTTTTTCCAGCTTTATCATGGCACGAAAGTAATATATACTCAGTATGTATGTATAGTGTTTCAAGCCCCTAAAGGTCATACCCTTCCCAGGGTAGGGTAACCTGTATCCAGTGACTGAAAGAGACATACAGGCCTGGTCATTTCTGCCTGACAAGGTACACTCTGGAGGGCAATGCTCTCACCAGAGCTCCCTGCTGACTGACCAGTTCTGTTGTGAGTATCAGAGAGATTATATACAGAACTAAAGAGCTAATTAGAAAAATAATTACAAGGGTATGGTTGTGGAAGGTGAGTAGTTCTTCTATAATAGGGGATGTGGCGTCCTGAAGGCCTTTGTGGGTCTAGATCTCAGGTAGACTTCTTCCTCTATCCAGTCCCACTCCCTCCCTCTTTCCTTCCCAAATGTAACACCTTGTTTTCCAAACTCCATTCTGTGTGTGATTCTGGAGGACCTAGCCTACAACACTAGCCATGACTCCTTCCTTTCTCTCATGTCCCACATCCACTCTATCAAAATTCAGTTGACTCTACTTACAAAATTTAGCACTGATGTCCACTAACACCACTCTAGTCTAAACTAAAACATGAAGTGGTTAATGTAAAGTGTATAAATGGAACCTGGGTTACTACAATAGCCTCTGGCCTGCTTTTTCAGTTCCTCTCATTGTTCTCCTTCAGTCTATGTTCCTTATGCAACCATCATAGTCCTTTTAAGACACAAGTCTCAGCATGTCATACCTTTGCTTAAAACCTTTCAGTGTATTCCCATTTAACTTGGAGTAAAAGCCAAAGTCCTTAAAGGCATACACAGCCCTCAATGGTTGGTTCTCTAACCTTAGCTCCTGCTACTCCTTGCCTTGCTCTCTCCACCCAGACACCCTGGTTTTTATGTTGTCACTTAAACATGGAGCACATACCTTTGAGCCTTTGCTCTAGATCTTCATCTGCCTGATTCCTGAACTCTTTCAAGGTTTTGGCATTATCCCACCTTCTCAGTGTAACATACTATACAACTGTGTTCTCTACAATGTTTATTGGTTTTATTTTTTGCCTGTAGTCACCTGCTAAAATGTACAAACTTATCAAGGGCAGTGATCAGATATGTCCCAAGCACATAGAACAGTAATGCCAATAAATATTTGTATCTTATGCTTCATAAGTAGATCTACATGAAAGAAAGTCATCATTTCAATCTAATTAATAATCACCATTCAAATTCATTGGTTTCCTTGGCAGGGATGTACAGGAGTCAGAAGTATACTAATAGAATATTTTCCTGTTAATCAATTCTTTGGAGGACTCAAGAAGGCGATAGAGACTAATCTGGATTTTTTATTTTCTCATGCTCTAAATGCTAACATGTGGATCTTCTTCTGTTTTATTATTATTATTACTGTATTGGGACCTCAGATCACACTTTATCTTTCTCCCGACTTACCTCCAGCTCATCAAGGGCACTTCCCAGAGTTGCTGCCTGAGGTTCTGGTGGGGTTGTCATATTCTGGATCCCTTGTGAAGCATTTGAAATTACATTGAGAGCATTCTGAATTTCTTCACAAACTGTGTCCTTGCTTGCTTTGAGGGAAGCAACATCAGAATGCTCCAAACAAGCTGAACAAATTGAATGCAAGAGGGGAGAGTTCTCCTTCAATGAGGCTCGGGCTCCTGCAATTTCATCCCTCTGATTTGGAGATTTTAAGTCCTGAGAAGGGAAATAAAAAGAGTGGTATCTTACAATGGGTTATGGGGGAAAGACTTAAATTAAAAAGCTTCATTTTTTAGTAAGTATAAATGAAAAGATAATAGACATCAAGAAGTCAGCTATAAGTTATAATCAAGGGCATCTATTATTTCTACCTTCTTTCAGGTTCTGTTAAAAATTCTGCAGCATAAACAATGATGCAGTTAACGAGTAAAGGTCCCAATAGTGCAGATGTGTAAAGATCTATTACTATTCAGTCAAATCCTTGTCAGTCAAATCCTTATAAGTAGCTGAAACACTCTGACATTCACATTATTAAGTGCATAAGATAGCTTGAATTACAAGGACGCTGATTACCTCATTCCACAGATGTTGATAATTGCATTTAACCTTTCCATTAAAATTAAACCAACTGAGTTAAGAACACTAAATGAAACCTACCACCATTCAGCTATATTTCTTTTCCTTTTCAGAAATACTAGTAAATTAATCCTATATCATTCTTTCTTTGACATTTATTCAACAATTAGTTACTGAGCACTTAGCATGTTCTAGCCCTTGTGCTAGACTCCAGTGTACAGATATGAAAAAATCCTACAAGGACCTTGTTCTTCTTTCTTTTGGGGGGAAAGGGCCTACAGACAAGAAATAAACTAGATAAACAAATATACAAGATGATTTCAGGTGACAATAAATGCTGTGAAGAAAACACAAAAGTGAAGTGTCATAGAGACTGACTTGCAAGGAGAAAGCTGCTTTAGGTTGAATGGACAGAGAAGGTATTTCTTCAGAGATGACAATTTGCAGTAAATGTAAATGAACGGCATTACCTCGGAGGGAAGAGAGAAAAGAGAATGTTCTATCTAAGTGATAGGTGATCAGAACTAGCTCAAGATACAAGAAAAAAATCTGGCAAGCCCTACCTTAACCAAATGATGAAATTTAACATCATCAGTGATATCACATGGATATCATGTACCCCTTGATATACTGTGACAAGAAAAATATGCCATTTCTGTGGTATTCCCTCCAGGAACCCATAATTCCAGTCTAATCATGAGAAAAACAACAAACAAAATGAGATTGGTGAACATCCTAAATGACATCTGGGCAGTGTTCCTCAGGACCACTAACATGAAAAACAGGAGATTGACTGACAAACTGTCATAAAACAGAGAAGATTGGGGAGACATAACTAAATGCAATGTGGTACTGAGGATTAGATCCTAGAACAGAAAAAAACATTCATGAAAAACTGCTGAAATCCAAATAACCATTATTAATAGTTAATAGCAATGCATCGGTATCCATATCTTTGTAATGGCAAATGTAAGACACAGTATTAACAATGGAGAAAACTGGAAAAAAGGTAAATGGAAACTCTCTGTACCAACTTTGCAACTTTTCTGTAAATCTAAAATTATTCCCAAATAAAAGCTTAAGTTAAAAAAAAATAATTCAAGGGACATTTACAATAGTTCATTCACTTCACATACAACATTTCATATAATCTTCATAAAAACTCATGAGAGATGTGATTATTCCATTTTAAAACTCAAAACACTAAGGTTTCAAGAGACTAAGTTTCTTAGCCAAGTGGCAGAGCTAGATGGTGGTATTTCTTGTATTGTAACCCACGTCAGTATAACTTCCAAGCCCTTATCCTAAAAACTATGTGCCATTCTTTCCTACATAGGAAAAATTTCTTATTTGCTACACAGCATGAGGACTTGTATTTGTATAATATCATGTAGCTTATAAAGTGCTTCTGTATAGTATCTTATTGATCATCACAATACTCTGAGGGAAGGAGTCTGCTATTATTAGTCCTATTTTAACTAAACAGGTGTTTGGTGTAAGAAGATAGAAACTAGTAAAGGAACTGAGATCTAAACCTAGTCTACTGATTGCTAACCTTATGCTTCTTTCACAAGGCTCTGCTACTCTGGGAATAATGTTGCCTAAGGTTAATAAATGGCTTGTGCTACCATATTTTTAGTTCCCTCCCTTCTGAAAATAAAGGCTGTCTGCTACTTCACTCAGGCTTTGGAGATGTTAACTTCTAACTGTCCTCCCTACATTTTGTAACGAAGTAGCTATGAACCCACTGTTCATACTCACTAATTACCCAAGAAAAGACACTCTATGGTTTTCTTGGCTTGCTACGATTTCCCCCTTGTATATGTGGTCTGGGTTTTAGTTTTAGTTCTGTCATTAGCACTATGAGCTGGGTAACTCATCTCCTCTTTCGGTGTCTGTCTTTCTATCTATAAAAATGGGATAATGATACTTCTTCCAACTCTCTCACAAGATTGAGTACACAGCACATCAGAAATGGAATAGAAGTGGAAAATAGAAAAAAGGTATAGAAAGAATATGGAATTGTTTTATTCCTTACATCTGTCAAACTTGGTGTACTGTTTTGTACTATGATAATCTTAGTGATTTTCATATTTCCCACAACGTTACAAGCTTTACCTACAGTCATCAGTGTAACTTAGGGGATAAATAGTTTAATGTTTAGAAAGGATCACAGCTCCTCAGATGAGTAATAATTGAAAGTATAAATGTTCAGAAAGAGGTGAAGCAAATTGTACAGTCAACTTAATACATAATTCCCTCTGAAGTGACCTATACCTCATGCTTCTTTATTTAGAAGGACAGTGTCAAGGTTTAGGTTGTTTCTGAAACGTGAAAAACTTGAACATAGATTATAACAAGAAGGCTAAAGTTAAAATTATTTCTTTTGCTCTAAAGGTGGCAATGTGTAATCTGACAGTAAATTGTAGTAACTTTAATGCCATGGGGACTTCGAAATGTTAAAAATACAAATGTATTTTGAATTTGGAGCCTACGCTTTGTCATCTCTGCCCAAGGCAATTACAGAATCCATGAGCCCAAATAGCAAGTCCTTGAAGCCTGCGAAAAAGGACTGGATCAGTGAACATAACAGATATAATGTTACAGCAGTGGACAGGGGGAAAATTGACAAGGCATGACCATTTCTCCCAAAGGACATCAAGCATGGTAAACTTAATGTAGTAAATAGGTACACAGATAAAAGAGAAATTAATGACTGTCACCTCCTAAACGTATGTTGTGGTAGTGGTGTCTGTGGTTGTTTTATTTTAACTGATGATACCATAGGTTCAAAGGTTCATAGGTTGTCCATTTACCCTAAAATTTGCATCAGGTCAAAATAGGAATTAAATAGTAAAGTTAATCAAGGATTTCTTTGGATGGAGACATATAAAGAATTCAGCTCCTCAAGGATTGATACTTATTTATAATCTTTTTTTTAAATGCTCCAGAAGAAAGCTCACAGGAGATTTCCAAGTTAAGAAGACATTAAATGTTTCCAGCTGACGAAGAAACACACAGATGGGATTTAAAAAGACCTTACAAGTCTGTGCAAGTGGGTAGAGAAGTAACACATGAGTTTTAACCCTGGCAAGAGAACAAAATATATTTAGGAATATTATTTTAAAAAATAAAAATGGAGGGCTTTAAGCTATCAGTTAATTAATTCAACCATTCCTTCAACCTGTACTATGTTGAGCGTCTCCTATGCCGAGCCTCGACTTTGCATCAAGGCAATGTGCTAAATGTTGGAAATGCAAAGATAAAGATCCGAAGGGGAGACAAATAAACACATTTACATGGGGACTAAAATAGAGTTACCCACAGCATAGAGGACAGTCTCTCAGCTTGAAGGGATTAAATAAAATTTCTCAGAGAATGTGAATCTTTTCTTCAGCTTTATTCAGGTATAATTAACAAATAAAAATTGTGTATATTCAAGGTGCACAATATGATGCTTTCATATACATATACATTGTGTAATAATTACTACAATCGTATTAATCAATATAACCATCACCACACAGTTACCCTTTGCGTTTGTGTGTATGTGCTGTGAGGACATGCAAGATCTATTCTCTTAGCAAATTTCAAGTAAGCAATATGGTATTATTAACTATATTCGCCATGCTGTGAGTTAGGTCCCTAGAACTTATTCATCTTATAATTGAAAGTTTACATCCTTTGACCAACATGTCCCCATTTCCCCCGCACACCAACCCCTGGCAACCATGGTAAAACTGCTTCTACAAGTTTGACTTGTTTAGATTCCACATATAAATACAATCATATAATACTTACTTTCTGTGTCTGGCTTATTTGACTTAGCATAATGTCCTTCAGTTTCATCCAAGTTGTCATAAGTGGGGGGATTTCAGAGAAGGTGAATCTTAAACAGTGAGTATAAATTATCCCTATGAGGGAGGACCCACAGACCCTTTGAAGGAAGTGGACTGCTCCTGCAAAATCTGGGATACACCCCAAATACTGTGAGTGCCCCAACTGCAAAAGTGGGAAAGGGAGAGCCTCCTCTCCTGAATACACACGCCCACTGGAGCAACTGAAGGTCTGTTTGTGGGAGAAGTTTCCGACCTTACCTGGAGCTGAGTCAATTTAAAGAGCCAAGCAAAAATACAGGGGTAGAGGAAGCAGCAGAAAGTCTCCAGGAGCCCGCTGGGTCCCCAGTCAGACCATTCCTGTCTGGCACCACAGGGATACACTGGGAGGGCAGCCAGAGAAGCAGGGGTGGGGGGAGTGGGAAGCATCACAGGGAGAAGGAAAATTCCAGCTGAACTTTGTAACAATTTGAATAGGGTGAGAAGCCTCCTGGCCAGAACTTGAGGGAGGATGCGAATCTAGTGTGCAGACTCCACAGCGGGGGAAGAACCAGGCCGTTTTCATTTGAAGGTGGCAGGTGGGTAGCCTAGGGCAAGTTTTCAAGCCCAGCTTGCCCACCCCTGGAAACAGACTCGGGGCTGTTTGGGGGCACGGTGGGAGTGAGACCGGCCCTTTGGTTTGTGTGGGAGCTGGGGGAGGCCTGTGACTGCCAGCTTTCCCCCACTTCCCTGACTTCCCTGACAACCTGAATGACTCAGGAGGGGCAGCCACAATCCTTTTAGGTGCACAACTCCATTGACCTG